TCTCTTTTATATGGAATTATTATGTTGCTTAGGAGTTCAAAAATTGCTTACTACTATTGTAAAGCTTATATTATACTAAAATCGACGTAATTCAATACTTCCTCAGCTATTTACTACAATATATTTTCTACAAATACCCCAATAAAAGATCGCGTATAAGAGATCGATTTTTAAAATGTCAATTTAACCCTTAAGCAGGCGCGTACCTATTTTTAACGTTCATAGTCGCGTGGAGGTCTATTAGACTCCATTTCTAAAAAAGTATAAAATATGTATAAAAATGTTCATTTTTTTTAATTCAAAGACATTATTTGTTACCATATGATATATAAATATGGATAAAAATTAAAAAATAAATAAATTACAAAATTATGTGCATTACTAAAAATTATAATACGAAAAAAAAAAAACTTAATTTTGAAAATTTTATTAAAAAATTTTGGTTTGTAAAAAAATTATTTTAACTGCAAAATCTTATTTTTAAGACGGCAAATAAAAGCTTTTACTATTACAAAATGTATTTTTATTAATTTTTCTTGTATTTCTTCGAGCTCAAACACGGCTTATATTTATTAGTTTTATGTGTATTTACATAATCATTTTTCTGAATTGAATTTTACTAATTAATATTACAATACAATTTAATTATTATAATACGAGTAGGGTCAGGAGGGGTAAATGTGAATAGTGGTAATTGTAAATGAGGCACCGATAATCAATGTGTCCACATTGCGACGGGATGTATTTATTACATGTTTAGTTCGTATTTGTTCCGTATCATCGAGTAGTGGAAATTCACAATAGATTATTTATTTTTAAAACTTAATTGCACAGTCGGTGGCAATTCCACATAATCCTAATTCCACAAATTATATCGATTATAACATTGCATTTACGATAAAACGATATTTTGAAAAAAATACAAGTCCAAAAAAAAATTATAACGTTACAAGTCGCTGGGGAGTGAATATGACCCATTTCAACTTTGATGGATATTTTAAGTCATACATTTTTTTTCGAAGGTATTTATTTATGAAAATCTACTCAATATTACTATAAAAACCATCTTCTAAATTTATATCTATGTACACCTTTTATGCAATATAATACATCCGTTGTTATTTATGTAAGGGTATGCTAGACCATCACGCAACTGTTTAAGGGTTAAGTTTTTTTTACATGCTTAAATAAAAAACTTTTTTTTTAAATTAATTTGCAGATAATTGGAAATTGATATCATCTTTATAAAATAAAATTAATAAAAATGATAATAGTAAAATCTGGCTTTGAATGGGACACTTTTCTACCCTTAAAAAGACGATTATTTAAAAATGGATTGAAATNTTGATTCAGTCATTTTTAAAAAAGTTATGACAATTTTAAGTAAAAAAAGTTATAGTCACCATAATTATTTTTAAAATTGAATTATTTATTGAAATAAGTTTGAAAAATTATAGCTTAAAAAAAATAAAGAACTGAATTTGAAAACATTGCGAGAGAAGATAACTGCAAAATCAAGTAAGAAAAATATTTCGGGAGAATCAAATCCACTAAAATGCATTAATGAACAAGAAAAACTGTTTGTATAACAATAAAATGAATAATGTTTTGTTTGAAAAACTAAAAAATGAAATAAGATTAAGAACGGTATGCCAAAAAGAAATGGATAGATACAAATATTATATGAATACAAAAAATGTTATAGTAAGATACAAGCTGATAGAATAATAAAGTAAAAAAGAGAAATGAATGAACAGTGTGAATGTGTTATGTGAAAGTTTTATTTTTATACTAATGTAATATATCAATAAGAAAATGAAAAATATAATAGAAAAGTAAAAAAAAGTGAAAGTTAAAGAAATATTTATATGGCCAGTTAAAGGAATAAAATAAAGTAATATGGTGTAAATTCTGATATGAAGGCCTCAGTGCTTGTAATATACCAAAAGAAAATTAAAAGACTTATTCGTAGTTAGAATAATAAGTATAATGTAATAAATGTATGATTGAATAATACAAAATAAGATAAGATAATATATGATGGAATAACATGTGTTTAAATATGGCAAAATAAGTAAGAGTGTAAAGAGTATAATGATATAAATAAATGGGGATTTAGAAATGTGATTAATGGTGGTTAAATACATTAGGGTGATGGTCAAATAAATAAAAAAAACACAAACGAATATGACAAAATAGTGGATTGATCTCGGGATTAAACTATATTCAATAAATGATGTTAAATATCCCTTACAAAATTGTATAAATTATCTTGATGGTTATTACGCAATAGGTTGTTTATTATTTGAAAGCATAAGTTTAACTTGTACTTACCTCTTATTTTATGTAACATAACTATATTTTAAACAATCCAATGTTTAGTTTGAATTCACGCTGTATTTCACACACTGTCCACTACGCATTTTATAGTCAATATGACTGTTTAGAAAAAATATTTAATTTTAAATAATTCGATATCGTAACACAAAATCTATGGCTGTTATTTATATTTAAAAGATTCTATACAATCTATATTTTTGTTATATATATAATTCAACAATGTACCCTTATTTGATTTTGTTGAATATGCATGCTTTTGGGGGACTATATTTTATTGAGAGATCGACACCAGTAGTTTTTAAATCTTCCTCTGGCCAGGCCAAAACAAGATTCAAAAATATTTATATCTATGTAGAAGATTTATCAAGGTGGTATTGTAGTGGCCTAATGTGTCCCGGCGCTAGCTCCTTGAAAGGACGCGGCACATTAATCACCAAGACAAAAATTAAACACTAAAAAAAAATATATTCGTAAGTTTCTTTGTGTTGTTTGCCGGTACGATGTTCGTTAAAACAAAGACATTAAGCTCAATGTTTAGCTACTTAATAAGAAATGTTCACAATAGATTTTTACTCTTAGTATTACAATTACTAAGAGTTGCAATACAATTAATCCAATAAAATTATTATTAAATTAATTTAAATCTGAAGTAATGGTAACCTTTAGCTCACAATAAATATTTAGCATTAAATAAATATTTAAAGTTGGGTTGGGTTTATTATAAAAATTAAATAATTTCAAAATGTTACATGTATAAGATATAATTGACATTTATTTCCATGATAAGAAATATAAAAAATTTATTATTTAATAAACAAATAAATTTAAAATAAAAGATACACCAAAATACAATTTACATTAAATTTATTCCAAGTTCCGTTTAATTTTAAAAGAATTATTAAAAGTCCTAATTAAATAAAAAAAAAACTAAATCCCATAGAGTAAGAACCCTGAGCAGAATGTTGCATATTTTGTGTATTTTAAAATTACTAAAAGAACTAATTTAAATAGGAAAAAATGGGTTTTTATAGTCAGACGAGGGTAGTGTAAATATCCATAGTTAGAAGCTTTAGATTTTAATTAATTGTTAAATTCATTTAATTTAGTAGAGAATCAATGTAGGCACTATATTTTTTACAATGAAAAAAATTACAAATAATCCTAAAAATCATTTCAAAGCCTTAATAAATTCCAAATACAAAAGCTTAACATATTTTCAACATTATGACCTGTCTAGTTTTGTAAAATATGTGAATGATTCTAGTAAATTTAGTAAAAAATGGATTCCGTCATGAAAACAATTCAACAATATTATAAAGTTATAATTCAAAGCAATCAGTATTTATATATATAATTAATTTATCAATATTAATTTGTAATTTTATAAAAAAAATCAATACATTTTTATGTAAATTAAGAGACAATATAATTTCCAGTGAAATTGATCCAAATGAAATAAGTAAAAAATTAGTTGAATTTTTAAAATTAGATAAATCCATTATTACCTAGAACTATGATAAGTGTTGTACAAATTTCCACTCACTATTGTTTTCATTAGAAAATCTTGAGGTATAAAATAACAAAACATTAATATTAATAATATCTCAATGCATTGGCGGCTTGTGGCTTGGACGCCGGGACTATCGCACCCCCTACTAAAATTAATTAAAAGAAGATTATTAATTGTATGTTCTTAATTCTACATTTTTATTAAAAATGCAAATTTTTCAATAGTAAAATAGTTATAATACATTTGTCGTGTGCGAACATAAAAGTCGTTTACATCACTATTTGCGGATATGCACACACGAGCAGTGTTTGGACGACCTATAGCGTCATTCGAATAATATTTTGATTATTTGATAACGTTATGATTTGTGCGTGTAGTCTACAATCTTTTATTTTTAACATAACAATTAGTCGTTGAGTCATTCTTTGTTGTAGTTTTATATAGTAAGTGTTAACTCCTAATGCTTTTGATATCGATTATTAACTTTGGCAGTTATTAGCGTATTAAGTTTCACTTGTTGGTGAGTTAACTATTATAATTTAATTTCTTATCACACATTAGTTATTTGTTTTACACACATCACCAACCAGCTGTATTTTTCCTGTTATTGTTTCTCAATTGTACGCTGTATCAGCATTACCGGTTGTGATTTTGGTTGCGTTTTTATACTTTTAAGGAGTATATTATATTGAACATCATTATGAGTCCAAATACTCCTCAAAAAGACACTTCAAGAGTTACTACTTGGTCTTCTCTAACTATCTCCTCTGGTAGGTCAGTTAATGGATCGTCCAATCAAGCTGACATGAGTAATAAAACTAATATGATCTCAAATGAAGATTTGATGGTTCTGTTAAAGGACTTAAAGGATGAAGTATTATCTTCCAATAAGGCAATGTCTGAACTGCAGGCTTCGCAATACAAAGACTTCAATGTTGACTCGTTGCTGGTTTCTGATCAAATGACTGAATTGAAGTAGGAAAATACTAGGCTTAGTAAAGAAATTGATGCACTGAAAAGTAAAGTTACAAGTTTGGAAAATTCAAGCTCAGTTGATACATCACAATCTGCAGTGTCACAAGTTATCCAAGAAACATTTGCGCGTGAAAAATGCCAGCCTAATTTGGCTGAATAATTTAATATACGGAGTTCCTGAATCTACGTCGACGTTTGTAACTGAGCGAATAGCTCATGACAAATTGACAATATTCTTGTTTCACTTCCAAGTGCTGGTTCTCTGAACTTATAACTTGTCCACCTTGGCAAACTCCGGGCAGATTCAACCCGCCCTATAAAAATTATTTTAAATAGTAAAGGAAATGCTTTATGCTTATTATCTGAGTTAAACTCTGCAAAGCACTCTGGTACTACATTTCCTGATAATTTTCGAATGGTTAGTGATAGAACCCCACTTCAACGTAAATTGTTCCGTTCCTGTTATATGGAGCTTGAATAAAGAACTAAAGATGGTGAATCTGGACTACGTATAAATTATGAAGATAGATTGTCAAAAGTTGTTGTCAACCATTCGAAAAACGGAAGATAACGTCAACGGCAAGCAGTCATCCATTCTTAGCAACATCTCTATGTAATGGCTCAATATCTGGATTCTATCAGAACTGCCGTGGTTTAAGGAAAAAATTATTTAACTTAAACTTTAATGTATCATCTTTAAATTGTACTTTCATTGTTTTAACTGAAACATGGTTAACCGATAACTTTTTTGATTCTGAACTTGGTTTAATTAACTATATATTTTTAGGTGTGATAGATTGGTTGGGTTGGGTTGGGTTAGGTCAATTGTTTTAAACAATGGGAACATTAGAAACATTAGTGAACACTTTGTATATTACTCTTTAATCGGAAGAAAAAAACGAAACTAGGAGATTTAGGACCGTGTAAATAAATACTACTAATCTAAACTTAAAATAATAACATATTATTGAAAACGTGTACATTTGATTTTATTTAAGTAATACAGTGGCACGTCCGGCAGTAACGGTCAGACCCGTTCGGATTTTACAATGTCCACATAGGTGGATAATAGCCGCCCGATAAAGATACACATAACTAACATAACACCGATGATAAAGATTACAACAAAATTGTAATTTTATACTAATCAAAATAGAAATTACAATTGTTGAGAACGGCAATTTTTTATTTGTTTCACAATTTCAAATAAATTTAATTTAATACTATAGACGACTAAACTTATTATCTAGATACTTTTTCTAGAAACCCAATTAATTATTGAATAAATATGGATATTAAATGCATGTGATAGGAAAATTGTTTTCAATATAATTATTGAAATGGTACCAACATTCCTAACAATTTCTATTATATATTTAAATAAAACTAATTCAATGTACTGTAAGTTAAAAACAAACGATCCTAGAACTTGTTTTTTATGAATAATCTGCTACCAAAGTCATAGAACTTCAAATTTTTAAAAATTTTTTTTTTAATTTATGATAATGTTCTAGAATAACTGTATCCTCCTAACTTGTATCAAATGAAAGTTTTAAAAAAATAATATGACAATTAAAAAAAATTTGTCTATAATCGGCAAATTTCAAATTATTTTAATGATATAAAAATTTTTGGGTACAATTTTTTTTCTAAGTAGCAACAGACGTATAGAGGGGCTTCAACTCCATTATCTCTAATTCCATTATCTCCAAAATTTACGATAGTGAGATAAATCACTATTTGATTTTCATGAATAAACTATGCATAATCTAAACAGTACCTTTTTTTAACAGGGAATTATATTTTCATAAATAGAAATAATCGAAGTAAGTCATCCATCTAAAAGTGTGTAATTGCAATTTTTTTAATGAGTGGTAACAGACGTATTTAGGGCTCAACTTCAAAAATATACTCTAAAACAAAATAACCAACAATCTTAAAGCACATTCGCCTCTAAGTAAGAGGCAAAATAGTAAAAAAACAAATATACCTAATAATAATAGATTTTAAATACCTTCTCATCGAAGCTAAAACATTTAACAAAAACAAATTTAAAACAATCTTCTGATTTGACTTTTGATTTGATTAGATACGAATAACTGTTGAGTAAATGATCACCATTAAATTAACCTTTAACATTATTTAAAAAAACTGCTGTCCTGCCCGGGGTGTGTGAAAAAATTTTTTTTTAACATATATTTTAAACAAAATGATTTAAATTATGCATAATCCAAATAGTACATTTTTATCAATTGGGAATAATAGATCCAACATCAGGAATAATCAAATTAAGTCATATATTTAACACTTTGTCATTAAAAAATTTACCAAGATCGCTCGATTTAATTCATATTTGTATTGCTAACTCAAACTTAAATCCAACAATTGAAATTAAAAAAGGTAAGACAATTAAATAACTTTTAAATCCTTATATATTTAAAATAATTAAAAAAAACGTTGATTGTTAAAATGATAAAACAAGCTTATTTTTTTTGTAATTTACTACAATATTAATAAAGTTAATAAATTTTTACAAGAAAAAGAAGTAAAAAATAATCTTAATATTCATTTCAAAACCATTTTCAAGGGCTTTTTTAATACAAATATTAAAATCTTTGTAACATTATAACCTGTATTTGTATTGGGTTCCTACTTAGGATGAGACACGGTGACGTGTTGGAGTGGACTGTACACTTAACTTTTACGAATAACTACAATAATATAATTTAAGTTCTAGAATTTACAGTCATTATTAAATAAATAATGTTATAATAATCATTCACAATTTTATATTTATGTGATACTTTATACAACATCAGATCGAACATTATTGAAAATTGCTTACCCAGACTATTAGTTGTACACTTACTAATTAACTAACTAAATTGTACTAACATTAATACTATAGTAATACTGGTTGGGTTAATTATTCATAAATTATTGTTGTTTTCAAATTAAAATTTAATACTGATCATTATATGTGTTTATATTCTATTTCAATATATTACTTAATGAATATTTACAATATTAAAAATTAAAAAAAAATTAGGGTGCCGAAAAATCCTCATCGAGGTCGCAAAAGATGTGAAACAATAATTTCTGTTGAACAGTACCAGTTTCGAGACTGCAGTCGAAGAACGCGAATTTTAAAGCGCAGAAAACGGAAAATTCTTCCAGGTGACTCATATTTTGAGGGGTTTACGAAAATAGGATGTAGAGGGAGTTAGAGAGAGACAAATTATTTTTTATTTATAGATTAATCAAGGGAAACTCAAAAACTATAAACGATAGCCCATTGAAATGTGTTATAAAAATTATGAACAGTCTAATCGAAAAAGAAAATTCATCAAAATGTATGGTTGTAGTGATGTCTAAAGTAAGATATACAATAAACGCATGTAACTATTTTAATTTAATCTTGGCTAATATATCAATAACAATTAAATTGTATAGATATTTTTATTATTAATACCTTAAATAAACAAATATTTATTTAAACTAAATCATAAAATAATTTTTTAAATCCTTAAAAATATATTATTTTATGTAAACACAAAACTTAAAAAGATATTTTAAATAATATAATTATACAAATTTGTATTAGTTATACATTGTATATTATTTGTACAATAATTATGTCAAGCAAGATTCCATACTGTTGTGCATTCTTAAACTGTGAAGTTTGTATTAATAATATATTAACATTAATTAATCCCAGCATAAATTAAATCATTAACTTTAGTCTGTTTATTTATTACAGTAAATTTAATTAAATTTTTTATTCATCTCTAAACTGTTAATTATGTATTGTTAAATAGCTATAGTTAAAAAGAACGATCAATGTTAGATATCAAATTTACTATTAAATTTAATAATTTTCTAGAAATTCAATATTAATGAAAATAAATATTGTAATTTATGGTTTTTAGTTTGCAAAATACAAACGCCGTGTAAGACGACCATATCCACTTGAAGATCATGATCCTAATTCACAGGACAGTGGTTCCCTTACTGCTCATTCAGATGATTCTAGATCAGTGTCAACATTATCTGAGAGCAATACATCATATACAGATGATTCAGATGATGAATTCTTAGATATTGCTGTATCCCCAACAGGATCGGTAATTATTTTACCTTTTAAAAAGGTTAACAGTTTTTTTCCTAATTTTATTTTATTTCTAGTCTCCAGATTCACTTCTACTTGGATTCAGTACATTAACAGAAGGACATATTATTAGCCAGTCATCAATTATTGTTAAAAGAAAAACTACAAAATATTCTTCAGATACTCCTCGCAAGAATGTAATTATTATAAAACAATTTATTATTTCAATAATCATAGATTTAATACATGTATAACTTATAGGATTTATTGTTTGGTGGTATTAAAAATAATGAAGCAGTTGTGAGAAAAAGAAAGTTGACACGTGATTTAGAATCAAATCCTGAAATGAATGTATTATTTAAGAAAACTAGACCTAGTACGAAATCTAAACCGGACGAGAGAAGTTAAGGTAAGAGGCTTTGAGCCGATTCAGTTTTATTTCTAATTACAGTAGAATTTCATTAATCCGAACCAATAAGGGCTCTAGGTTGTCTGATTTAATGAAAGTCCGGATTAAACAAAATAACCAAAAAACATGTTCGTATTATAGATTTAAGAATATTATATTATACTAATTACTATGTATGATATACAATATATATGTATTGCAACATGATATTAGTTTATGATAACTTTAATGACGGTAGATAAGAATATATATACTTTTGGGAAATTCGAGGAACTTGCTTTTATGTTTATTTTAGTCTATGGCATAAACTGCGTATTTTGCGTAATACTAGACAGCTGTCCGGATTAAGCGAAGTCCCGATTAATGAGGTTCTACTGTATATTAGATTTTAGTTTTAACTTGGAACGGTGAAGTCTCCCTTGCAAATTTTTATTGTTCATATAGTTATTTGAACGAATTTCACTGATGACAGCAGTGAATTTTCACCTGGGTTATTCACAGTTACGTGTTAGCGGGATAAGATTTGACTTGGTCTCTGGAAATTTTTTTATAAAAATAAAGTTAGTTAGAGTAGTTTATCTAATACAGTCCGCTGTAACTATTGTCGTTGAAAAATGTTGGTTACAGTTTGTTATAAAGACCTT